GCCACAGGTGATTGAGAATGATCAAGGCACCCACTATACTGGACATGTGTTACAAGAATGGTTGCAGCAATTAGGAATAAAGTGGAAGTTTCATGTGCCATATAACCCTACTGGGTTAGGAATGATGGAGAGACACAATGGTTTGTTGAAATCTGGCCTAAAGTCAGACACCAATAGTCTACAGAGCTGGTCAGTTCACTTATGGACAGTGCTATGGTGTTTGAATGAGACACCCCAAAAAGGAGCCTCAAGCCCTGTGGACATGCTAACACACATTGCTGCCTCTCCTATACAACTGTATGTGAAAACCAAAGAGGAATTATTGAAGCCAGGCTAAGGCCAGCAGAGCAGAATCGTGCTGCCAGCCCCAACTGCATTAAACCCTGGCAACTCTGTTGAGTGGATGTAGCCTGAACATTTCAACACATGGACTGGCAATGGCTGGCCCTTCTGGCACCTTAGGGACAAGGCCTGATAGTTGGCTTCCTGTGTGTTCCTGGAATAATAGCAGAGTGGCCCCCAAAGATCACAGTACTGTACTCAAAACATCTGGGATGTAATAGCATCTTACAGGGAAGTTCTGTTTTAACTTTATGGCCAGTGCATGGACTTCCCATAGCCCTATATACTGACCCAACTGTAACCCCCACAGGGAGAGGGGTGAAGGTCTGGTATACTAGACCAGAACGAGATACCATTCCTGGCCTGTCCTATCACAGGATGACTCTCTTGCATGCATCCTACCTGCTGGACAAGATTTGCCTATGCTGGTGTCATTAAAACATGTACCTTATCGCCCTTAAGGTTATTTTCTTCTACAGTCCCTATGGCCTGGACCCACCCCCTGGCTACAGCTGCTGCATGATGATTGTTCTGAGCTCCCTACCCATTCAGCTACTTACTGCGTGTGGAATGGGCGAGCTATGGAGTTAACCTGCCTAGGACTTTGAACCTAGCTGAATCATCCAGCTTGAGGACTATCATGATTTTATTGCTGTTGCTACTGTAAGTCATTAATTAGTCTGATTACAATGCTCCAGTTGTCTCACACAGGGGCCATTGCAGAAGATGGGGAACAAGTAGATTATAAGGAGAGATTTCTGGAGGGGTGGATTGTGGGTAAAATTACAGTATTTCCAAAATCTCTCACCTGGCCTTACTGTATTTCCATATCAATAGGTGTTTCCAAGCTGGGGAGATAAATAATCTATCTCTACATCAATAAGTAATTACAACGGCCAGTAAGGGCATATCTGGACTGGAGAGGTTGCGTGGGATCCCTTTTTGTAGCTGGGTTGTGAGAGACATGGGCAAGCAGAAGTGGACAACTGCTTGTACATAATAAATGGGTTTCTCCCACTTTATTTATCCCTTTGACTGATTTCAGCTTCAAAGGTAATTTGCCCCAGGCTGGGAGCATATCCCTCACCCCCTCCACCCCTGGAATTATAACCATCTCACTTAATCTTCACAAAATCTTCTCAGGTAAGTACTATTTCACTCCCCATTTTATAGAAAAGAAGCCTTGATATACTCAATGTAACAAAATGTGCTCAAGATCACCTGGCTGGGAAAAGAGCAGGGCTAGGCTTCAACTCAGGTGTCTTTAATTCCAATACTTATATCTTAACTACCAAGTAGTTATGTCCCCTCCTAAATTATCTTCATCATGATTTGACCAGCCAAATTATCTTTATTCCCTGGCATTCTTTTGCTATGTAGACTTAGCCCAAACACGGCTGGGTTGCTTTTGGGGAATTTTTTTTCCTCAATTTAACAGCTGCAAACCTTTAAATGACTTAAATTTGAAAACATAGTTCTCTATTTCTTTAAACAAGCAATAATTTCATACATAACACATTCACTCAGTTACTAAATTCAGAGAGCAGCATGTGAGAAAGTCCCAAATGCTCTGTAATTTTGTCAAAATATCTTGGGTTCAGAGCTAGATTTACAGAAAGTTTAAGATATTTATGAGCATTACATATAGAAAAAGATTGCCCTCAACAGGTTATAAAATGTTATCAGTGTTCCTGATTCTAATCATAAGTTTCTTAGAAGAACTGAATCCATCAGAGCTGAGCTGCTGTGCTCAGCACAATTCCAATCAAAGCAGTCTTGGCTAAGGAGGAACTGCATGCAATTATTTCTGAGCTTTTTTCTGATACCTACCAAGGAAGGGGACTGGCTGCCCTGTGAGTAATGGCCAAAGTATAGCTGTGCAGAGCCACCAGGGAGCTAACTGAGTATCACCTCTGTAAAGCTTCTATGTAAAATGGCACACCCAAGCTGAACACAAGAAGAGAACTATATGCAGGGGAGCTACAAACAAAAAGGCAATGTTAAGACATTTTATTTGCCAGGAGTCCAGTGTGTTATGTGTTTTAGTTAGACTCTTTTGTTGCAAGTAGCAGGAAGAAAAGAGAGAGAGGTGGGAATTTCTAAGAGGGATACAAGAGGGATCTCATGGAAGCCAGTAGCAGAAATCGCTGGGTCTGAAGAAGGAACTGGGTGAAGGAAAACAGGAAGAACATTATACTCTCTATCCATCTCTCACATGCTCATCTTTGCACACACTTTATGCTTCTCTCAGCTCACTGCCTTTCTTTGCTTCCCAACCTAATAAGAAATAAGTCTACCCTGCAACTCTCAAAGGTCCAGCCACATGAACAGTCTCAATTTTAAATAACCAAGCGAAGCCACATTTTCCTACATTGTTTCTACCCTTCATCCAATCAACCAGGAGACCTAGGGTCACAAAGGACAAAAACTGCAGCTTAGAAATTCAAAGCAAAATTCAACTGAACAAATTTGAGGATCTAATTGGCTTTATAAGCAATTCATGAATCAGGCAGCCTCCCATCTGCAGAAAGAGATGCTCCCAGGATCTCTGGAATCAATGGAAGATTTTTATACCAAGGGGGGTAGGCAAGAAGTTATGAGCAAAAGATAAGAATGTATTGTTTCAGGCGAGGACATCTTCTTTTGGGAGAGGAAGGGGGAGCAGGTTTTTATCATGCAGACTACCTCATAGCGCTGGTCATGAAGTTTCAGACTGACTGACAAAAGGTCACATTCCTGGAATAGGTTGAAACTGTAATTGAATCTTGCTTTGCTTTGCTGTCCCCAGGTCATAAATCTTCAAAAGAAAGAAAGTGGGAAGCCCAAGACTAGAAATAATGACTTCTTACTCTTTCAGAGACAGCAGGAATTCCCCCAGAAGAAAAACATCAACATTAACTTACTGTCCAAATGTTCTTTGCATATCCCAGCCACTGTTCCCAGAGGTGTGCTCTCTCTTCCATGATGCAGGATGCAGGTCACTACTGTCCTCCTGGGCAAAGAACTCAGTTCTCCTTGGCCTCAGCTTTGCAAGCAGGTCAGCTCTAAAAACATTTTCTGATTGACAGAAACATCCCTCAAAGATGGGATTGGCTGCCTCCTTCGCCGAATTTCTTCTTTTGTTTTAACATCATATGGGCTCCCTGTCAATAAAAGAGAACCATTTTATTTCCTAAATCCGCATCTTACATTGGTTCATCTTATGCTTCAGTGGGTAATATTTCCACTTCCTAAGATTTTTGAGGAGTTTAAATGGCTGGTATCATTTGGCTTGGGATTTTTATTTTCTCTAGGATTGAAGCAGAAGTGAATTGTGGATTGACCAGTAAGATTAGGTATTCTTGGACTTGGCCCAGTTAGTACACAGTACTTGGCATCTAATTTTGATAACGCACAAAATGTAGCTGTGAACATGAACATGTAAATACATCTGCCTATACACATAGACAACTGATTTTCCCCCAAGAATTAAGAATGGAATATAAATATTCACTTATGCATTCAAAGACCATTTTATTGCATATCAAATATGTACCTAGCGGCCCTGTGCTAGTGATAAAAATTAAAAGGTGAATACAACAGAATTCCCTGCCCGCAACTAGTTCCCTGTCTGGAGCGAAAAGAGAGTCAAACAAACATCAGAAGGTTGGAAATACAAGAGCGATCTCTCTGTGCCTCACTGTGATAAAGCCTTCATTGCACATTAGTCCAGGGTGGGGTACTAAGGCACCTTTCATTCTCAACAGAAATCTTGGCTTACAGTGTGAGACAACATACCCAGAAACACTACTAATATGCCCAGCACGTGATAAAAATGGTAACAGATGATGTTTATATTTAGTCCTATCTCAGTTTTTCCCTCTCCCCACTCCTAGCTCCAGCCACGAAGCTATCCCTCTGTTCCCACTTGGCCTTAACTAGAAATAACAAAAATAGCTAATGTGTTACTATCTGGCAGGCACTGCACTGTGCTCCTGACATATGGTTGGCTGTGCTTCACATCCTAAAGGCAGCTACCAGAGAGTATTATCCTCCTGGCATGTATATGGAAACAGAGAAACAGGCTGAATAATTTGCACAAAGACTTTGGACCCAGGCCTTCTCCTCAGAGCCCAATGTCTCCACCTCATCATTTCCAGGAATCTGAAGCACTAAATCATTTCTCTGGCTGAGATGTGAATTATGGGTGTCCCCCTCCCCTCTCCACTGCCCCCCAAAAGCCATTTTCATCCTAAAGAATCATTTGAATCCATTGTGTTGGAATGTCAGGCATTGTGGAATGATAGAAAAATAAGTAGTTGGGGAGAGGGGAACAGACCCTGACATTGCCCCTCAAAAAACACCAAATAGTTATCTGGCTTGTACTTTTTTCCCCAATTTTATTAAGATATAATTAACATACCTCACTGTACACGTTTAAGATGTAGACCGTAATGGTTTGATTTACATATATTGCAAAATGATTACTCCAGTAAGTTTAGTTAGCATCCGCCATCTCAGATAGATACAACGAAAAGAAAAAGCAGAGACTGGATTTTCCTTGTGATGAGAACACTTAGGATTTCCTCTCTTAACGACTTGCACCTGTACCGGGCAGCAGTGCTGTCTACAGTCATCATGTTGCACATGACATCCGTGGAACTTGCCTGTCCCAGGACTGGAGGTTTGTACCCTTTGACTACCTTCCTCCTCCCCTCCTCCCCCACCCCCTTGATTGGCACTTAAAAGAAGAAAGTAGCAGAATGAATATAGGTTTAGATCAATACTCACCTAACCACCAACAAGGAGATGCCAAAGCATGCCCCTGACTCCCTCCGTGGCCTCTGGAGAGTTGAGTGGCAGCTGCCAGCCCTCCGGCACAAACCCAACAGGCTCTGCGAAGGCACCATGCAAGGTGCGGGGTTTGAGGTAAGGACCACGGTTGAAGGCACGTTACACTCTTTCAAGCAGGGTTTTGGATTGTGGTGGAGGTGTTTGGTGTTTGGTTTTATTTTATCTTCACTGCACTTCTTCCCAGGTTAGAAAGGTAGGTATCGCCAAACCCATCCGGAAGGTGAAGAAACTCGTGGCCGGCAAAGCCTGACCCCGTGTCAAGAGTGTCAAATGGCAGAGCCTGACCCTTCATGGGAACACCTCTCCCCTATAATTCTTCTCCTTGGTAACTATTTATCCTTCAAAACTCAACCCAACTCCGAGAAGACTCAAAACACATCATTTTCTAATACTTTACTACATTTCTCTATAATCTATTCTCCTGAGGCTATTTACATCCACTTTCTTTTTATCATGAGCTATAGTTGTGGATGCTATAATACTGAGTGTCTGCATTTTGTTTTCCTCTTCAAAGGGGCTTGGGTTTTAGTGTGGCAGCAGTGTATTTACTGGCTGATCAGCTTTACCCTAGTGAGACTTATGTTAGGCTTTGCAAAGAAGTATCTAAAACAGCCTTTGTCTATGGCAAGAGCAGCCCCGTTCTTAAGGTTCATGGCATTTCTGGGTTCCCAGTTAAATGCCCAGAACGTTTGGCAAGGCCTCCCCTCTAGCTTTTCAAAAGTCCATTATCTCCCCAAGCCAAGCACCCTCTGGAACCGCCAGGCAGCACACAGGCGCCTAGTAGCTCTTACCCTCCTTTCTCAGTTCTGAGGAGTCTCACCTTGCACATGCACAGATTAAAATCTGTCCCAAGATGGAAGAGACCCACACCAATCTCTGGAAGTACTTTTCCAAGCAGTTTCCTCCTTTCGGGAGCCCTGCCCAGCCAATTCCAGTCATCCACTACACCAGACATGGCTTTCGATTTGCCCCACCCCCCGAGGCCAGCATGTGGCATGGATCCCTTCCCTTGTGCTGTAGTTTGGAAGGCGCCCCCAGGCAAAAAGCTGAGGGAAATGTAAAGCTCACCTCATGCCTTTCCTTATTCTTAGGAATCAATCCCTGTGGTTGTAAAAAGTTGACGCATATTATTTTTACAGTTTTACATTTTTTATGATAAGAGGATATATGTTATATCTGTTACTCTGTCACGGCCAGAACAGGAAGCTGGTATCTTCTGATCTTTTGAAATTCAATTCAAGATTTTCCCTATGCCTGGTAAACCCCTGGTAAATCCCTGGTCACCACGCTTTGCAGTCTTGTTTTCATACATCCCTACCTCTACCTCTTAGGCTGTGGGCCCTCTGTGAGAGCGGACATTGATGAGCATGGTGTGGAACATAGCAGGCATTCCAGAAGTGCCCGATACCGATTTTTTTAATAAATCAGTAAAATTTCTGCTTAAACTAGTCATGAAATTAACATAAATGTCCTACTGAAATGAAAACTCTTTGAACCAGCTGAGAAAAATGATGGGGAAAAAACTGGAGACTGAAACAACAAGATTTGCACAAAGAGACACAAATACTGGCCTCCATCTGAGGGAATAATGCCCAGGTGATGCCACACTTGTCCTTCTGTGGGAGAGCCAAGGGGGCCCAGGCTGAGTCCCAGGACTCTGGTACTGGATGGCTGAAGGAAGAGGAAATGTACTTTTGATTAAGACAGAGGGACCTGTCTTCCACAGTCACTCTGACCCAATCCCTGAGAAT